TGCCATACTATATTTTCTTCGAATCACAGATTGAACAATGTTATTTATACCTCTTGATATTAATCTCAAATCTTTGATAGTTTCTATATGTATTTTGTATAATCTATTATAAAATGATCTCACGAGTAGAGATCTAATTATGATCGTAAAGATTTCAGTAGGGAACATACCGCTATTATCAATATAACGGAAGTGATTGTACGTAATAAAGGTATCAAAAATGATTCAGTAAAATAGATCCAAAATGTATATTCAGGAGACGATTTCAATAACTTGAGAAAAAGAACAGAATTTTCAGACATATTTCATGCAAATACATGATAAACTCATCATTTTATAGCTTTCAAAAAAAATAAATAAATAAAAAATAAAAAATAAAAATAAAATAAAATAAAATAAAATAAAAAAATAAATAAATAAAAAATAAAAAAAAAATAATAATAAAAATAAATTTATACATTATCTAATATTTGTGATGTCGTCCATCGCTTGTTTAATTTTATCTAAATTATTTTTCAAAGAATTGGGATCACTTTTGATTCCCAACTTTTGACAAATCGAATAAACCTTCACCCTGATATCATCCATCAAATTTGAACTCAACCAATCACAATATTCAGAAATAATATCTTTATAATTAATTACATTGGTGATGTCCCGATCATCACGAATACGTCTATCATTATCTCTCTTGAACTCAGTAGCAGCACTCCGAACATGTCACTCAACATTTACTCCCCCAGTTTTTTTTAACGCTCCCAATACCTCATGACTTATACTATCGTCAGGATTCTTAAAAACTTCTGAAAATGTATTTTGGTAATTAACGGTACTCGTCATACCCATATAAACCTTTCGCCATGAAGCATATGTCAAAATAATAATCTTGTAAAAATGTGGAATATTTTTATCAAATAAAATTGGATTATCTGAAAAAGACATCATTTATCAAAATACAATAAATAAACGGGATATTTATATCATCCCTTATAATTACGTAAAAATAATAAAAGACTATCCAATATCAAATCAACACTTCCCTTGTCTACGATTCCAAAATTATCACAAATCTGTTTGATCTTACAAACTTGATCTTGATTAAGAGATCTTGGATCAACATTATCACCACTCGAAACCAACCAATTACAATAATCATCAACCTGAGTCCCATAATCAAATATATTTGGAATTGCAGTATTCCAAAACTCACCACCACCCTTAAAAATGATCACAATTCTTTGAACATGATAATCCCATCGTCTTGAACCTGCCCGATACAAAATTACTAATTCGTCATTATCAATCATATTATTAGGGTTTGAAAAAATAGAAGAAAATGCATTCTGATAAGCTCAGATATCATTCAAATCATGATTCCGAATATAATAGATACTCTATCGTAATATTATGATCTTGTAGAAGTGTGATATATTCTTATTCAATAAAATTGGATTATTTTCAAATGTAACCGTTCGTACTTCCATCCTATAAAAAATATAAATATTTATTTATTCATTTATATCCAATTCGATCAAATATTACCTCTCTTACAAATCTTGATTTTAACATGATACACATTAAACAACTGATCAATTTATAACAAATGATTGATACCATGACCATACTTAAAAACCAATCAAATTAAATATAAAATTAGAACAAAACGCCACCACCTTATCACGCCAATCAATATTTATTATATTGTAAACAATAAATTAAATCCATCTATATTCAGACAAATCTTTACACATCGGGTAATTCATAAGATATCTATCCTTATGGTTTGGAAATCTTTTCCTGAAATAAACTTGACCATCTCTAATGATAATCTCACCATCAACATCTTGATTCACGTCTTTAATCTTTTGTTTCAACTCATCAATTGTATCACCATACCTTCTATATTTGATATCCTATCGTATGTTGTAAAAATCATCATCATCACCCTTTTCAAAGAATATCCTGGTCGTCCGTTCTTCAACATCATCATTTCACTTCCCTTCCAACCAGATAATATAATCAATACGACGGAAAAACTACTCGGATGAACATTTATTATCATCTTCATCATTTCCAGTACCATAGGTATATGCATTCTGTGGTGATTGGGTACTCGTCATAAATATATATCGTGGGATAAATAATCTCAAGGTTCCATACTTGATCTCAACCGAGTAATCGGTATCATTCAACAAGTTTACTATCTCGCCCCATGAAATCTTGGTATAAAATTCATCCAAGAAAACCACCGATTGACTGTCATATCCATTCCACCAATTCTTTCCACCCGATCGGTCCTTTGAGGACTTGCTATACATCACATTCAAAAATAACTCAGTTATCAATCCTGTCTTACAAGAACCACCGGGACCGTAAATATAAATCACAACAGGTTTCCAAAATCTCTTAACAATCGATCCCTTCAACATCTTCTCCTCACATTCTAATTCTTTTATCAACTTATGATTCAAACGCCAACTCAATGGTTGCAATTTTCGATTCATTACCACATCTCTATAACTGATATCACCATCTCGAAGATTCACTAATCATTCCAAATCTTCCTCCTTGATCTCATTCATAGAACCCTTGACATCCTTTTAATCCTTCAAATATGAATGCTTTTTGGGAATACCAAACTCATAATATTCATCTGGGTCTTCCACACGTTTTCTCTTTTTCTTGCCATCAAATAGCTTGCAGTTTTCTTCCTTCAATTCGGAATAGGTTCCTTTGCGTTGAAAGAATGAAGCCTTGCAATAATTCGAGGCCTCTTCAAAACTACCTTACGCACCTTCAAGATGAATTGTATTGTTTCCCAAAAGTTTTTTGATTGCACCTATTCGTCTTCGTTTATCCAACTGGAAATATGCCTGATAATGTATACGTCCAGTCTCTGGTGTCGATTCATATTAACCCACACAATAAGTCATGAACTCGGATCGATTGAAATCAGTCTGAGAAGTTGGGATAGATCTCTTGCATTCAATGTTGGATTCAAGACAACTGGAACAGATTACGGCATTACATTCATTTATTCGACAGCAATCTTCACAATCATCATCAGTACAACATCGATACTTCTGATCACACTGATGACATTCATAATTGTAACAATAGTTTTCGCAACACATCTCACAGGACTCATCAATACATCTTCGATGCTTCTTCTCATATAGTTCACAATTAATCTTATCAGAATACTCTTCAGGTTTATAGGAACCAGAGCACTGAAATTTTTTACGACAGTTCACACAATAATACTCTGTCGCACACACATATTGAATCATCGAATTCTTCATATTTTGTTTTTTGTATCTCTGTTTATATATATTTTCAATATACATGATATAATCAACATCATTATATAATAAATCAAATTATAGTTAACCTTATATGGTTATCTTTTTGGGTTACGTTATCTAAAGTTTGGCAAACTTAAAATTTCTATAAATTATTCAATAAACTATCACGTCCTCAATAATGGCTCAAGATAAAGTTTTCACTTAACTCACATATCTTTTTATTTCTCACCAAAATATCTGATCATGAATCTTACAAATTAGCTAATCGTAGATTCCATACTATTTATGTAAAATATAATAAGTACGTATTCTTCAATCAATACTTCACTCTATGCCATTGGACCGTCAAATGTGACATATACAAATTCGGATATATTGGTGATAAATGTCAATATGAAATTTATTACAACGAAAACATGACCTACTGCAAAAATCATACAAAATTCATGGTCCGTTTTCCCGGATACCATGAAGAATCGAAACTCATGAAATCTGACAAAACACCCTATTGATACAATTGCATACATCCAAGACATAGAGGAGTCATCCTCTACCTGATAACTCAGGAATTTGTAGAAGATTTTAGTAAAGATATCTGTATGGAATGTGGTAAATATGACTATATCATTACATCTCTTTTAACCAGTGGTAATGCGATTGTAAATTTATGTTTCAAATGTGATTACGAAATACGATGGAAATAAAGTCCTAGTAATATTTTTGGAATGACCACTTTTTTTTTAAATATCTTGAATTTAATATTTATTAAAATTATAACCTGATATTATTATAATAAAATCGACATGACCTGATGGTTCCGATATCTATAATATAATCACTAAATCCATCCAAATCATAAGTACCAACCAAACCATCAGGATTTCTATATTTTACAAATCTATCACAGTAACATTTGAATCTATCGGGTTTGGATATAAAATTATTATTCATGTCATAAAAATGAATGAAACATTGTGAAATCTTTACCTTAAATCCGAATTTCTCATAACTATATGTACATCTACCATCGTTAACCTTATTATAATCTTTGCAAAGTTTAAGTATATATGATGTACCAAGTCGTTTTTTGGAATCAAAACACAAACTATCGACACGATAATCGAGCTTTCCACATCTTCGACAATTCTCCTTGCCCAAGAAATCAACATCCTTTTGATTTACCTTGCATATTATTGAGTAACCATCACTTGGAACTCTACAATATGGCATCATCCTTTTATAATTGATCTTTCTCTGAACCTCTTTTCCATTAACTTTGAATATGACATTCTTCTTGAGAACACGTATGAATTCAAAAACTTGAGGAGATCTACTAACATCGCAGAATACATGTCTACTCAGATCCAACGAACGAATATCATCAAAATGATGTATATAAATCTCGTTACATTCTTTACTAACAAGTCGAAATCTTAATTGATCCTTGAAAGACAAGAGTTTGAATATAATGTAAAGAATATCGTAATTCAATGTCATATTTAAATCACGAAGAAATAATATCATGTCTATTTATATATCTTAAATATCATCACGTTATAAAAAGTTTGCCAAACTCATATTATCCTTACAATACTTTATCAAACATAAAAAGATAACAACAAAAATGTATAAACATAACTTTAACATTTGCATAATATGACATCTCTTGAGCTCCATTTCTCTCCTTTCAAGTTCTCACACCAATGCATTCTCAAACTCTTGCAACTCCCTCTGCGATGCTTGTAACATCATTTGCATTACTCCCAAATCATATTCATATTCACAAAGTTCTCGTAATCCAACATGTGCTTCCATCTCCAATTCATAAGATAATCTCTGATACCTTCTTCTCAATCTTTATAACATCCTCTGATGACTCATCTGACGTCTCAATTGATGATTATGTCTATTGGGATCCTTCACACGACACAATGGACAGGTATAATTCTTTCTAAACCATTTGAAGATATATTTGCCATACATCGATTGATAAGCACAAAGAGGCATCACAGATGCAAGGTTCATATCACTTATTTCTTCGTAACAAATTATACACTCTTCCATATTTGATGAAACTGATAGATCAAATATTTATTTATAAAAAAAATAATACGTAATAATTCTTGGATAGCCTTATATGGTTATCAAATCAACAAAGTTTGGCAAACTAAATTCTCACGTCAACATTAAAGTAATCAGGTTGAATTCCAAACATATGGCACGAATGTGTGTAAAATCGGTTTGCCATGTCAAACAATATAACCATCCTGATTTGAGTTGACTCCAACAATTTCAGTATCTTCAAATTATATCCCTCGTAGAATGAATAGGATCGATACTTTTTCAAGAACTTTTCAATCTTCTTGCAATTTTTATCCATTACCTCGACTATCTTGCCTCCCATAACTTCAAACATATTGAGATAATCCTCATGTATCTTCCAATATAATTTACCAATCATGTCCTGTACCCCTTTTGCTAAAAATCTAAATAAACATTAACATCAAATCAAATACGTGAATCATTCATCATACGTACTCTGTAACGTGCGAAGATACATCAGTCTTTTGTTTCAAAAAGATGCACACGATGGTAAATACAATAAAAAATAATATAAATTTTATCACACCCTTCATCTTTTGATCAATCTTGATTCCAAATCAACTTTATTTATATCATTTCAATCGAAAATATAACTCACTTGTTCTTATCCTCGATGATGATAACATTAATATAATTATGATTCGGTTGAATGTTTAAAACCCAACATGCACTCAAATACAATTGACTCGCTATTCCAAAAAATTTCAACATTTTGATCTTGTTCTCATTCCTCTTTCACGTTTCAAAGAATGAGGCATGCTCTAACGTCTTTATTTCATTCAGATTATATCCATACCCTTGCAAGATCCCTTCATACTTGATCACAAAATCTTTAAATTTCTGAATATTTTCATTCATCACCTTGATGGAACCGTTCCCCACAATTTGAAATATATTCAAATAATCATTACAGATCCCTTGATACAACCAATCGATCAATTCATAGGTCTCTTTAATACTCATAGACGACATCTTAAATAAACAAAAGTTAACATTATAATATAAAAACTTTGCATTCGTTAAGCTTACCTTTATTCAAGTAATTCCAATTAATAGAGAAACAAATCCGTTAATCAATCTATTTAAATATTCAATAGTCACATCAATAATTATTAATATAAAGTTTGGCAAACTTTTGAGATCACATTATTCCAAATAAATCGATAAACCTGTGATCTCAGAGTTTTGCAAACTTTATCATACGTAATCGAATTTACATAAATTTAAATATCACGACGAACTTTATGATGTATCACACAAAGTTTAAACTATGTTAAATCTTATTAAATATACACTTTATTAATAATCTAACATAATACAATATTTACAACTGAATATATCCTATCTATAGTCAAAATATCCATCGCAACATTAAACCCAACCATCATTCTCTTCCAACTCACCATCTCTATGTCTTTTCTCGAACCTTTCATCTTTTTCGATGTCCCACCCATCCGCAAATCGTCATTCAGGTTCAGAAGACATAGTTTATATGTCTTCTGACCTGCACGTCTTTTCAACCATGTTTACATCGGGACACCGACCTCCCGATCAGGATTGAGCTTAACGTTGAATTTAATGAATAAAATATTCAGGATAATGATTTATCAAATAGCACCAGTACAGAAATGAAGTAAATACATGTATAATCAAATATCCTATTATGGCTAATATCCAAAAGAATTCTTTGGATTTCAGAATCGATCTCAGGAAGGAT